GACTCACAGCTTGGACTTAGAGAAGATGGGGTACATCCTTCCAGGGGATCAAGGGATATAGAGCAGAAGAAAGCAGTGCTTGTTTCTCAGAATGGCGTGGAAAGAACCAGGCCAGTCTTGCCACAAGGCCTACCCACAGCCCAGGACTCAAGAGGGTCCAGGCACTCACTTCTACTTTCTAGGGTGGGAGTTGTGAGCACTTATGTGCAGGCTCTGCTTCTTACACTGGGACTTAAAGCAGAGATAAAGCCACCCACACTTCCTGCAAAGTGGCTCTGGTTCCCAACCTACTCCAAGCTTCTGGATACAGTGCTGTCAAGAATAAAGAGGAGCCCATGAGTCACCAGCTTGTGTCACTGACTCCAAGTCCACCTGCTAACTCTCCTTTGCCTCTTGGCCTCCCTTGTACCTCCTCACAGATCACCATCTTTCTCTGTTCAGACTGCTGAAGCTGTGGTATGATGGCCCAAACTGGCCAGGCTCCAGCAGGTTGGTGTGTACAATGTTCCACTTTTCAACTTGGGCCACATTTCCTGGTCATGTGTACAGCTGCCACCTCAGGCAAACACAGTCTACCCTTCCTTTCCTAGGAACTAAATGGGTGTATCTAGAGGGGGCATCTGTTTACCAAAGGTGGGGTAAATATGTGCCTGCATGTGTTGCAGGGTGTGTGCTTACTCCTGGTATAGGTGGGGCAAGTGAGCACCTGTCCTTTGGCAAGGGTTGAGTGGAAGGAGCCCTTCCTGCCTCTCTTATAGATTCATCTGATGACCTGGACAAATCTGTTTCTCTTTCTCCCTCTTTCTCATTTCCTCCAAATTTGAAAGCCTCTCTGGTGTATGCAAATTTCAGACCCTGAAGGTCCTGACCAGGGCTTGGCAGCCTTATCTTCTCACCCTGCCCTGCCCAGGTGCTGAACCACTTGGGCCCCTGAAGTGGGCCCCTTTATACTCACTTGAATACTTCCTCCTTCTGTCCCCTGCATATGCACACACACAAATATGCTCTCTGAGACCTGAGATGTCCTCTTTGAATAAGGACATCTATGCTGGGCAGGCTCACCTGTCCTAAGTTTGGGACGAATACCCTAGTTCTGGCTTCCAGCTGGGAGGAGAGTGATTAGAGACCTGACTGTGTCCCTTGCCTTGACTGGCCTGGGACCAAGAGACCTCCAGCTGATGTGAATGGTAAGGGGAAGCTATATAAAGCTAGACTTTCTTTTTTCTTTTTCTTTTTCTTTTTTTTTTTTTTGCGATAGGGTCTCTCATTAAATTGCTGAGGGTCTCAAACTTAGATCCTTCTGCCTCAGCCTCCTATGTCACTAGAATAATAGGCATGTACCATTGTACCTGGCCCAACACATGAAGTTTTAGGGATACCCTCAAACTATATCCAAACTGTAGCACTGCTTCAGTTGTCTTTTTCCCACTATCTTCCCTTGAAGGTTATATGTTCTATTTCTAATTCTGATGATTTCTCTTGTCAGTTTCATTGACACATAATTTATATAGAATAGCCTACATCTTTTCTAAGTTAGTAGTTAGTGAATTTTGGCAAATTTATATAGACATGTACCTACCTGCTACAGTCAAGATATGGAACATTTCCATTGTCCCAGAAGTATCTTGTGTTATGTTGTAGTCAATCTCCAATCCCTGGTCTCAGGTGACCAAAATTCTTAGATTATATATATATATATATCAGGGATTGAACCCAGAGGCACTAACTACTGAGCTGCATCCCCAGCCCTTTTTATTTAATATTTTATTTTGAGACAGGGTTTCACTAAGTTGTTTAGGCCCTCACTAAATTGCTGAGGCTGGCTTTGAACTCACGATCGTCCTGCCTCAGCCTCCCATATCGCTGGGATTTGGGGCATGCACCACAGCACCTGGCCCTCAGCCATAACTCTTGATATACATGCAGGGACCCACACCAGTGAGGCTATGGTCTTCACGTGAACTCCCGCCTTCCCTCACCCCACTGGCTAGAGGTTCCTCTGATGCTTCTGCAGGGTTTTATGTTCAGTAGGAGTAGAAGCCCTGTGCACCAGGCTGGGATTGTAGCTCAGTGGTAGAGTGCTTGCTTAGCA